GGGCTTCGCTGCGGCCCCGCTCCCGCCTCTCCCTCGCTCACCTGAGGGCGGCTGGTGCTGCAGCGCGACATGGGATTCGCATCCAATCGCCTCATTTCCGGGTCTGGGTTCGGAGGCGGTAGGGTGCGGGCGTCTCACGCAAGCTGCTACGGAAATTCGTTTTTCCTTCTCTCGGGCTGCGCCGAGGTCCCGAAAAAGCGTCTCCTCCAGCGGCGTACCTAAGATGTTGGACAGACCCAACGCAAAAGTTTCTCTTTCTTCTTCGTGTCCCCCTGCTCCCAGTATTTATTGGAAAACCGGGAAACCTATCCTCGTGTAGCGAGAGCGGTGTTAACGTCGGGGAGCGCCAGAGACCGCGGGATCCAGGGCAGCTGACCTGGTAAAACTCGATGTGGGCAAAGAGGACGACGACTCGGACAGTTGTCAAAGGCCCGACCTGACCAGGAGACGGGTCTCAAAGAGGGGGGGGGCGGACGCGGCGGGAAGACGAGAGGCCCGGCCGGCGTACCTGTTGGAGTGGGAGCCGCTGCGCGCTGAGGGGTGGCGAAACTGTGTGGTGTGGAGCTCGCCCAAGCCACACGCCCACGCACACGCCCACGCACACGACCAAGCACACGCACACGACCGTAAGCACACGCACACGACTACGCACACGACCAAGCACACGACCAAGCACATGCCCAAGCACACGCCCAAGCGCGCGACCAAGCACACGCCCACGCACACGCTGCCCAAGCACACATCAAAGCTCGCGCAGCAGCACAAACAACACACGCCCGAGCAGCACTCCACACCGCAGGCCGCATTGCGCTGTGTCGGTTGATGGCCATCTGGACCCACGACGACCCACTCCAGCGAGGTCGACCCGGCCAGACCGCGACCCACCCGCCCTGGAGGATGCTCCAGATGGCTGTGAGGCCACGCCGGCGTGACGTGCGTGCGTACGCCGCCCCTGTTCTGAACCAGACGAGTTCCGCCCCGCCTCAGCCTCTCATAGCCCCCTGCCACCGCCAGGCGCTCACCGTGCGCGCGGATTTGTTTCAATCACTCTGCAAACATGGACTGACATGTGTCAACGCGCTGTCGATACCCCGTGGCTGTAATCTAATCTTCTGCGCAGAGTGTGCGCGCCCGTGTGTGTGGGTGAGAGCGCGACTGTGAGCGTGAATGCGTGCTGGCGACAGCTTCTATCGGAGCGCAAAAAACAAATTCATAAAAAAAAGAAAATAACGGTAGCGGTTGCCACCGGGCGACACGGGGCCGCTCGCGGCCTCGTTTCTGCCTCGTTTCACCTTTTAACATCCGTGCTGTGCGTTGAAAACTCATTGCTGCACCGTCATGTTTGGTCTCCCCTGGCGCTTATTGGCGCTCGCTTTCCATGCATGACCTATCGTGCCCCACGGCTGATGTGGCGTGGCGTAGCGTGGCGTGGCGGGAGTATCGTTGTATCGGGGATCAGAATCATTATTGAGAGAAAGAGGGCCACCGAAAAACAGATAGACAGACGGACAAAGTCCACTGCCACGGTGTGCCGGGGCACAATACGGCAGCTCCACGCCACGCCCCACGCCGTTGGCCCGGCCAGGTCGTCGCACGATATTTTGGCGGAATTGATGAAATCGATTCTCGGCCCCACCGCGCTGGGGGGCCACGCCACGCGCTGTTCTCTTTTTCCAGTATAGGTGGGTGCGGAGGGGTGGGATGGGG